GAACGACGTTCCTGAGCTTGAGTACAGGCAAGTTGCATATGCGCTGGCAGCTAGATCTGATGCACTGCTTTATGGTGGTCGGATCAGAGTATATCAGAGTCCAACGGCTCTAATCAGCACCGGGGGGGGATCAGTCTGAGATGTATCTTGGACCCGCGGAGGAGGACCAGCGTCGCACATCGTTTCCATGAAATAGGCTTTCAATCCGCCCAATACCTCAGATGTCACACTTGCCAGGCGATTGACGATGTCGCGCCCTTCGCTTCAAGGTGTGGCACTTGTCTTTCGTTCTGGTGCAGGAGACATCCCCCCTACTTATCTAATGTATTGCCGGTGGGGGGCACGGGGGGGGCTCCAATACATTGTTCTGTGGGGTCCCTAGGGATCAACGAGAGGGATAATGTATTGGGGGGTGGTCTGCTATGTCGCTTCTTATTGAGCTGTCATCGGTCAGTCGGTGTTTCGATATACCTCATAAGCTAAGTGCAGGTCTTGGACAAAGCGGGAGAGAGAGAGCCTGAGACGGAAGGAGCTTTTGCATGTCAAGTTCGGAAGCGATTGCATGTTCTATCATGTTCTCCTGCTGTGTCGGTGCAGGCATTTTGCCTTGTAGACTGCATGCCACAGATATCCACACATGCCAGGATTTTTTGTTGTCGAGCCCCCTGCAGGGGGACCAGACTTGTTCACATCGCACGCGGCAACGGGGAGCAAGGCATCGGAAGACAGACAGACATTTCAGGTCGTGAGCACCAAAACATTACAGAACCAGAAAGCGTTCATTACGTGTGATGCCATGGTCCTGTAGATTTAAGAGCTATGGTGGGACTCGTCGAGAATGCACTTAGCTCAGATTTGTATCGAGGCTTCATCACCCGAGGGTTTATTGGGGGACGGTTTTAGCCGACCGCCCAGTTACCTTCAGCTTTGTCGATGAGAAGAAGGGCATCGCGTCTCCCACCATCAAGTCGGTGATTCAGGCACCGGGAATCCATGCACTCATTCTCCCCTGCACCCGCAAAATAGCGTAGCAATGCGTACCAGGCGAACAAGTGGGCAGATCAGGAAAACGTCAACCATGCCGGGCCCCTGGCCACTTGGTTCGAAACATTTGAAAACCCAAAACATGAGCCAGGTGCCAAAGGGCTTGAAAGAGCACGCCGCCCGACATAGTCCTGTGGATGGCGAAGCGGAGGAGGTGGGGTTGGAAGTTGGGTTTGGGATTTCCCGGGCTTTGCTAGCCATGGGTTTGGGATTTGGGTGGTTTGGGGTTTGGTTGCTACACCAGCTCTTCGCTTGCTTGCTCTTTTCATCCAGGCGGACTTGGGACCATCAATGCCGGCGAAATCGGTTGGGCCCCCGACTTTAGCTGCGCCACCTGTCAATTGGGAGAAGTCGGAGCTGCGGCAGGATGAAGCTGCAGCATCTGGTGCCGTGGCTCCGGCCATTTCCTTAGAGGTCTGGTTCTATGCTTTGAAATACCCACCACTGACACAGACGATGCCCTGAGGCTCCATCTGGTTCGCATGCTGGGGCTGATGAGGCCACGGTTTTGGATGGACCAGCAAGCGTTGGGATCCGGTGGTGATGTTAGTACGACGAGTTGTCTTGCCCAGGTCAAAGGTCCCTCCTCGTCTGCTGGGCTTGTGCTTGCTGTCCTGGCCTTGGACATCCTTGCCTTTGTGTGCGCTTTGGTTGTAGTCTCTGCCTTGGGTGATGCTGCGAGTCCTGGCCCCCTTTTCTCCCAGGCCATGGATTCTCCTGCGGGTGAGGAGCAGAGCGAGGCAACGGGTTTTCGTGGGATGCATTCGGACTCTGAGAGCAGTGCTGTGCGGGATCAGTTTGCGATTGAAGTGCTGTGCTATAGATCAGTTGATTGGCATTGAGCGACGTTGGCCTTTTCTGCTGTGCTCAATAGTTCAGAGAGTCAAACCATGTGGGCAATGAAGGCTGCAGCAGTGCGAAACCGATAGCAGAACATGGCCATGCACTGTCCGTGATGGGTCCTAATATTCAGCTTAGCGGTCGTGTCTTATTCTGCGTAGTGCCATCGCTGACCTGGCTAGTGTTGGGAGAACATCCAGCAATCTTGGCTACTGCTGGCGGAGATTCAGCAAACCTTGCTGACCTGGTTGGGCACTGGCAAGTGCTGGCGGAGATCCAGCAGCTTTCTGACCTGGTTGGGCACTTACCTGGCCAGTGTTGAGCGAAGATCCAATTTCGAGTGCACAGCTGGCGTAGACGTCGGGTGCCATGAAGCGTCCAGCTGCAAGAGCGAAGGCAGGGAAAGCCATGAAGGCCATGAAGACAACGACAGCGATGAAGGCCATGAAGACCGTCATGAAGAAGGGCCAGTCCAAGGCAATGAAAGCGATGAAGGCCATGAAGAAGGGCAAGCCCAAGGCAACGAAAGCGAGGAAGGCCATGAAGAAGGAGCCGGAGGCTACGAAGGTCATGCCATGGGTTCGCGGATTGCACTACAACGAGGGGCAGCGACGGCTTCAGTTTTACGAGGTCAATTGCATCCGCGAGGACGGCTCGGAGATCAACTCGATGACACTGAGCGGCAACAACACGTTGAGTGACACGGTGGCAGCGGCGGAGGACAAGGGCTGCGACAGCAGGGAATGGAAGGCTCTGGCGATCGCTGTCGTCATCAGACGTGAAGAAGGTGTTGGCAGCGATGTTGATGAGCCGTAGATGCAGGGCGCAGCACAGCAACACACAGCAACAATCAGTTTCAGGACCTAGATCATATACATAACCTAGGCATAGGCCGGGCTAATGGTTTGTATACTGGACTTTACTGGCTAGGGCGAAATGCACAACACAACACACACACACACACACACAGCCACACAGACACAGGAGTTGCACTAGCGCAGCACAGCAGCAAAGAGCAGCACAACACTCTGAGTTTCACTTTGCGGCATCTGAGGGGTGAGTTTCACTTTGCGGCATCTGGTTTCTGAGGTCGAAACAGCAGGCAAGGATTCGGTTGCGTGTGTGGGATATCTGCGGGAACCACTCTTTTGTTTGGGGCTTTGGGCTAGATCTTTTGGGGTTTGGTCCAAGCCCCCAAGCCGTAGCTTGAAAGCCCAAGCCCTAAACCCCGAAGCCCCAACCATTCCCAACTCCGAACACCCAAACCCCCATGCCCCAACCATCCAACCCAAACCCGAAACCCGGAACCCCACAGCCCAAACCCTGAACCCTAGAACCCCAAACACCGAACCCGGTCAGGTCTCGGCAGATCCTACTTCGACGTCGGCTCGGACCTTGGGCTGACCGGACCCCCTTCTCTGCCCTACTGCTGCCCTGGTCAGGTCTCCACACATCCTGCTTCGACGGCCTGGGGCTTGGATACCTTGAACTTGGCATGGGCCTCGTCCTTCTTCCTCTTGCTCCCTGGCGCAGGTGTCGCATCTGTCACCGGTGCCTGTGGAGGCTTGCCTGGACATCGGCCTTTGTCGGTTGTGTTCTAACTGGGTCCGACGAGGCTTTGGAGCCGACGGTGCCCGTCCTTGAGCCGATCCTCGAGGCTCCTGGTGCTTCGGATACTGCTGGGTCCTCGGGTGTTCTGAAGTTGCAAGGATTTGGTTGCGTGGGTTCCTACGTGCCGGTGTGCCATTGCTGCTCCCTTGAGGCCGGTGGTGCTGCGGTTGAAGACAAGGTTGGGCTCCAAGGGTCCCCGTGTGAGCCTATGAAACCTAGACCTTAGCCCTCAGGTCCTATCGGCTGATCACGGTGATCATGGTGATCACGGTGATCATGGTGATCGTGTGGCCGCTCGATGCTCAGCTTGATCCTTCCTTCTTGGGTCTGTGCTCGGCTGCCTTGACCTGTTTCTTTTCTGAGTGGTATGGCTGCACGACTTGGGCTCAGACCTCTGTTGCGCACTTGCGGTATCTTCTGGTGTTGCAGTTGCCTGCTATGGACTCGTGGTCGTCGAAGACAGCGACGGCGATCGCCAGCCCGGTGAACCGGGAGTCGGCGGAGTCACCGGGTGACTGCAAGATCACGGCCGTGATCCTCGCGGAGGGTCAAGCCAGAGCATTGATCCCCTTTCCACCGCCACAAAAGGTGGATGCCAAGGCATCAGGCTCAGCTTCGTTGTTGTCCGACATGCCCGACCGTGTCATCTCCTGGAGTCCTTTAGATCGTGTCTTGACCCCAGAGCCAGAGGACAGAATCATCTGGAAGAAGCCAGCTGCCTCAGACCTGGTATTTCCTCCGGACATGCCCCACCGCGTTGTTTCCTGGAGTCCTTTGGATCGTGTCCTGGCCGTAGAGGGCAGAAGCATCGGGCAGGAGCCAGTCATGACACCATCGCATCCGAGCAGACGCACGGCGACGGACATATCTGGCACCAATGCGACACCTCCTCGCAAGACCCGCTCAATGCCTTACACGCCGTTGCATAAGACGACAGCGAGGCCGACGGGTCGCAGCAGTGGTCACAGCCGTGTGCAGAAGAACTGATTCCGGGCATTCTATCCTGACACGGGGAAGTGTCATGGACTTTGTCTCAATCAGCACCGGGGATCGCGAGAGGTTTCAAAAGGTTCACATGTGAGCTGCTCTGTGCTAGGGTCGAGCCCGAGACTGACTCGTGTGGTGGTGCTACTGCTGTGATTCGTTGCTTGCTGCTGTTGCTTCGCACTAGGTGCCGACTGCTCAAGCTCTGCTGCTTCTTGTAATTCCTGCCTGCTCGCAAGGTCTCTGAACAGCAGATGCTGGTCGTACCTCTCGAGGCGGGCGGTTGGCGGATGTTGGCGGTATGATCTAGCAGCCTCGCACGTGTTGTGCTGTGCCTGCTGAAGACCTTCAAGAATGTTGCGAGATTCGCGATGCCGGTTTGTACTCATCCTCTGACACCCTAATGAAGAATATCAGCATCCCTAAGCCATAAACCTTCATTGATCGGGGTAGGCAACGTGTGCTCGTCGGACGCTGACCCTGGCTTGCAAATGCTGCTGTCCCGTTCAGCAAGCAAGGCAATGGATCCAGAAGCCCGTCGACCCGACTCGAAGGTAGAGGCCTTCGCTGCCGTGTCACAGACCTCGGTGCTTCCAGGGTGCGACATGTGTGTCTGCGTTGTGAGGCATCGCCGAAGTCGCCGAAGATGGAGGCTGTGCTAGTAGATGTTGCGGGGAGAGGAGGCGGCACCTTGGCCTGTTGCCTGGCAGGCTGGGGAGATTCCTGCTTGTGTATCGAAGGTGGAGGCCTTCGCTGCCGTGCCACAGACCTCGGTGCTTCCAGGGTGCGACATGTGTGTCTGCGTTGTGAGGCATCGCTTAAGTCGCCGAAGATGGAGGCTGTGCTAGTAGATGTTGCGGGGAGAGAAGGCGGCACCTTGGCCTGTTGCCTGGCAGGCTGGGGAGATTCCTGCCTGTGTACTGCAACATGCGGGGAACGAAATCTTCAACATGGCCGGGCTGCCTCATGATCATTACGGCTATGAGGGGCATGCCGATCGCTATTCAGTTTACTCGCCTGGGACTGAGCTGGTCTTCTCGGGTGTCGAGTCTTCGCTTAAAGCCTCTTGTGTTTGCACGCCAGGCATCCCTATGCATCCGAAGCGCTGGTTGTAGTGTACACACAAGCAAGAGTTTCCAATCAAAGCTGTGAGAACTTCTTGTTTGGATTGAACACGGAGCGGGGCCGGGGAGGGGGGGGGGGGGGCTGATGCTCATGATGCTCGGGCCTTGTCCTCCTGTAAGGGGTCAACAAGACTCAGCAGTGACGCACGGTGCAGATGTACACCCACTCAAACCACATATCAGCTGGTTCGAGTGCTCAGAAGGAGCAAGAAATGCATGAAGTGTAACCCACGGCCTACGGGTTTGGCGCAAAGACGACGGCAACAAGCTAATAAAAACGCCGTTTCTAATTGCTCCCGTATAAAAGTGGTTGGTTTGTGCGGCAGGTTTGTTTGTGCGTAGATCTTACATGATTTTGACTTCGTTGGAGCTGTTGTGAGGCTTCCTTGGGAGGCACAAGACCAGTACTGGATCGTCTCTGTGTCTGAGATCGGTGCGATTTCGTCTGCTGGTGGCCTCGATGCTTTCCGTCTCCTGACACCGAGCGAGCAGAGGGCTGCGGTGCCCAAGGAGCCGTACCTTGTATCCCCCTCAAATCATTTTGAATTCCTTCCTGAAATGCCTCGTGAAATCTGCCAGGACTGCCTTGCCGCTCTGTGGTCGACCGAGTTCCAAGACGTGGTGGCTTGGATATGGAGACAGCGCTGGACATCTCTGCAGGCGGGGAAACGTACACACACCCACACAGAAATGCTGCTTCGGATTTGTATACTTTTGTTGGGTGACGTACAAAGTAGTGCTGCTTCTGAAACCAGGGCTTTGTATGCTTTTGTTGGGTGATGTACACCATCCCCTGCCGCGGTTTGGGCGGTGCTCCCGGGGAATCCCCGTGCAAGCGAAATGTATTGGACCCGTGGGACGGGTCCAATACATTAGTCGGCGTGTCGGGTCTTCTAGGAGATTTCAGGATCCTATGGGGTTCGTGCTGTCCGTAGGCCAGCAGTACCACAGCATGTTCCTGGAAGAATCCCCGCCCGTCCAGAATGTATTGGACCCGTGGGGCGGGTCCAATACATTAATCGGCCCAGGCACGGTTGCCGGCGACCCTGTGGCACGACGTCAACCAGAACCACGAAAGCTTGGGTCAGTTCGGGCAGGATCACGCCAGATCCTGCACATGGGTTTGCCTTGAGCTGGCTCGATGGTACTTGGTATCTTCGACCAGCCGGCAGCTGCCCTGGCAGGCGGGGATCGTGAAATGTATTGGACCCGGGGGACGGGTCCAATACATTTCAGGATTGTTCAAGTCAGCTTTGCGTGGATAGGACTTTGGCCTAGGAAACCCTGCAACGTTCTCCCAGTGCCTCCTAGGGCTTCCCACCACCGAATAATGTATTGGACCCGGGGGACGGGTCCAATACATTCTGCCCTGGCCAGGAATTCCTTCGTGTCTGGATGGCGCAGGAGCGTGACGCCTTGGTTTGGTCGCTGCTAAGGCAGGCGGCAGTCTGGGCTGAGAAGTACAACAAGCTGATGGACCCGGAGATTCGGACGATTTTGGGGGATTCGTGGAATGCCTCCGACAAGTACTGTGTGCCCACAGAGGTGAAGCATCAGCTGCTTGATGGGATCTGTTCGCGCGACGAATCATTTGCTCCTATGAAAGCCTTGTTCCAGAGCTGCCAGCTTACAGAGCTTTGCATGGGGACGCCTCTTCACAAGGCGTTGGACGCCTTGGAGGCTTTCCGTACCAAGCCTCCCGCCGAAGGTCTTCTGGCCTTCGTCCTGGTGAGCAGGGATAAAGCCTCGACTGTTCTGGCCAGCTCAGACACGACAGTTCCTTGCCTGCACTACGACTCCCATGTCTGCACTCTATGGGACCTGGACAAGTCAGCAAGCTTCCTGTTCACCTCCCCTGCCATGCTTTTGCAACATCTGACAAACACGAATGGCGATCTCTACAAGCCGGATGGCCTGACACATCTGTGGGCCTTCAGCCTGGCCTCGCAAAAGACCCAGGCCGCTCCGTACTTGGACGACATCCTTCGCTTCACGTCTGCTTCTGATCAGTTGGCCCCTGGCACTGCAGCAGGGATCAAGCTGGAGGCTGCCCCGTCCTTGGTGGTAGGACAGAAGATTTTCCGGGCGAGGATGGGCAGTGGTGTCATCAAAGTAGAGGCCGAGCCGGACGATGCCAGCAGGACTGGCCCAGCGAGCAGCTCGCATCCTGCACTGCCGAACCTGCCGAGTGAAGCCATCAGGGAGCCCTCGCTAAAACGAGAACATCCGGAGCCTGCTGCTCCACCTGTGCTTGTGTATGATGACGACGATGATGGGGATGCCAAGCCTGGCAAGCCAGCTTCGAAGCTTAGCAGAAAGCAGCGCCGGGATCTTCAGGCGGTGGAGGCGGCGGGCAAAAAAACAGCAGCCAGCCGGGGAATAACGTACCATGAGCGCTTTGCTCCGGCGCACCAGTACATGGTGCCCCCAAAGCACTGGGGCCAGTTCCTGCAAGCCATCTACAACGGCGAGAACAGTGACTGCGAGCGGTGTCAGAGGCTGCTTCACGAGTTGCGAAAGAACGAGGCTGAGGATGCACCTTGCTGCGCTATGCTGCAATGCTTTGTAGAGATATGATTTCGGGATATTCAGGGTGTTTCAGGCGGGGGTCGTATGATCGACAATGTGTGGCATCCGAGGGTCACAGTGCTTTGGTGGCCGTCGGGCCCCAGCAGACGGACACTGAGCGGGCATTCCAGCAGCGTCTCAGGGAACTGAAGATCGAGGAGAACATGGGTCAAGTGAGGAAAGGCCGGCGAGCGAAGGGTCAGAAGCGGGAGCTGCATGAGGACTTGTTCGAGTGGCTACGCCAGCGCCGCCCGGATCAGTATGTCAACCTAGAGACAGCCAAGCTGCACCTTCGTTGCACCTCCTGCGGGGAGACCTTTGCCGCAGTCCGCGATACAACGATACTGTTCGTGCTGCAGCACGAAGCTCGGCAGAACCACGTGGACTCGCTGCTGCAGGTCCGCCAGCGGCCCTGTCTCGGTGTTGACCTCAACTGCATCGACCACCAGACGCGAGCACATCTCATGGTCGATGCGTTCAGACTGTGGACTACCTATGACAATCCCTGGTTCCACACGAGCTTCAAGTGTCAGGTGAAGCTGCAGGACGATGGCAAGCTGTTGGTGCACTCACTGAAGTGCTTCGAGGCGGACGAGGTCCGGATGTGCCCTCCAAGCCGTCCCTTCTGCAAATCTTGCTTTGGACTTTGCAACACAGAGGACTTCTGCCGCAAAGTCTCGACGTGGGCCTTCCGGATAGTTTTATCCAAACTGGTCCAGGCAAAGTTCCTTGAAAATGACGCCATGTGGGATGAGGCCATTGGGATCCTGTCGTCGTCCCAGTGGGAGACACCTGTGGACGTGGAGTGGCTGGAAAATCAAAGCTACGAGACTTTGTACACCAAGCTACAGGAGCTGCTGGGCTCCATTCCCATCGTGTTGCAGAACCCGGCATGCCGCAAGTTTGTGGCCACGCATTTTACTTGGCTGCCACGTCGGTTGGAATCCAAGCAAGGTCCCGCAAAGCAGATGCCAGGCCGCTTTTGGGAGGCATTTCTATGTTTGTTTGTGTGTCTAGGCAAGGAGCAAATGCTTAAACGCTAGAGTACGAGCAGAGGAAACTTCTCAGCTACGTGGACAAGCTGGTCGAGGCAAAGGCCATCTCGGCTGCTGATCAAGACCTCTCTCAGCAGATCTTGTCGGGTGCCCTTGAGGGCAACGATGTAGCTCGGACGATGGTGGCTGGGATACTCAACAAAGCTCAGAATCTCAAGGCCGGCAAGAAGCGAGTCAATGCATCCAGCTTGCCAGATGTTGACGAGGGACGCATCGCCGAGCTCGGTTCTGCCTTGAGCTCATGCACCGGGCAAACCTCCTTGCTGAACCTGTTCGGCTACACTGCCCCAAAGGTTCCGGCTTCCTCAATGTGGCGCCCTGACCTCCCGTACTTCTTCAATCCGTCCACGGAGGAGCTGAAGCACAATGCCGAGCGGATCCTCGACATCATCGGCAGGGACGACCGCGATTATATGGTCTGCTTCGACGACACGACCTTTTGGCCTCAGTGGTGCATCCAAGCCTTTCCTGATGCCTTGTATTTCATCGGAGGCACCGGGAGCAATGCCAAGCTCCGAGTCAGCGATCATGCCCCCGGCACGCTGAGAAAGGAGGACCTGTCCCAACAGTGTGTCACCTTCCTCCTTAAGAAAGCCAGCACACGAAAGCTCCCCTTCGACATGGCTATGATACCAAAGCGTCTGAGTGAGGTCACACTCGACTCTGTCTTTGAGCAAGTTGGAGCCGTGCTGAAAGCCGTGTGCAGTGCAGCACCGGCCCCGCCCTGCTGTGTGGCCTACGACAACCATGCTTCGCATGGTCTTTGCAACACCTTTTTCCTAGGCTTGATGTCCAAGGAGCGGTGTCAGAACGTGGCCTTCTTCAGGGAATGTGTGCCGCATGCGAGGTCTTTGGACCTCCCGTGTTATCGCTTCGCTACCATGGCCTATCAAGGCAAGCACTGTGTGTTCGGGCACAACGACGCAGCCCACACACAAAAGTGCTTGACGAGAGCCCTGCGAGTGAAGAACCGAGTCCTGGAGATTGGCAAGCTGAAGGTGTGGCCACAGCTGATGTTGACCCGAGGTTTGCCAGCTTCGGCGTGGCGGGGGACGGACAATCAGTCCGACACGCAGTCGAGCTGGCTGCTGAATCCCCAGTGCGTGGATGTGAACCAGTGGGACTCGATCGGCCTCGTCGCATTCATGTTTCTCATCGGACACTGGTGCGGCATTTGGCTCGCCTCGCACAGATTCGCGCAGGCCGCTGACATTTTTCAGTGCGCACTGTGCGGATATTATCTGTTGCTGTTCGACCTCATGGAGACACAAGGCTCGAATGCCCGCTATTTTCACTCGATCACAGTGGGGAACCTCCTTGCTATATGTGGGCACATGGTGGAGCGAATGGCCAACTGGCCGGATGGCTGCCCCTTCCGGCCAAGCGCCACCATGGAAGATGCCAACGAGCATCACTTCGGCGAGGTGAAGAACAACATTGCCCATCGCTTGCCTACCATTCGAGCTGCCCTGCACACCACCCAGCTGCTTCACGTGCGTCGCAAGAAGGCCATGGCTAGCTTTGCAGTCGACAAGAAAAAGCTGCTTCCCTGGAAAGCATTGACGGATGCTGAAGCCAGCCAGGCCGGGAAACGAACCTTGGAGACCGTGTGCACGTACAAAGCCTTGACGAGCGTTGGCAAAAGTGCTGCTGACATGCGGGCTGCCTTGCAAAACTGGTGGAACGTCATTGGCAAGCAGATGGTTGCAGATCGGCTGCGGTCCTGTCACAGCCAAGAGGTGAGTTTTCGTAAGCGCTTCTTTTTTCTCATACAATAACTATGTGTATTTATGAGTAATTATGCATATCCATATACTGAGTCGTGTCTCGAATGCTTTGGTGCAGGAGCTGCAGGATGAGGAGGAGGCCCACTCGGACGTCGAAGACTGTGCCGTGGACCCTGCGAACCCCGAGCTCGACCAGAACCTAGAAGTTGCCCAGACCCTGGCATGCTTGCAGAAAGAGTCCGAAGCCCTTGCAGAGATGCACCGCCTGGACGATGCCATGGCCAAGGCATCAGACAGCACAGATGTACCGGATCCCGCTTCGACCTCTGGTGACCTTGTTGCAGAGGATCCCGCTTCGACATCTGGTGACCTGGTTGCAGAGAATCCCGCTTCGACGTCTGGTGACCTTGCTGCAAAGGCTGCGAAGGATCCGGTTCCGCCGCCTGCAAATGATCCTGTGACAGTGACGGACGAGCAGCCCGCGATGACACTGGAGGCCATTCTGCGGAAGCATGGCATGGACAAGTACGAGCCGATCGATGGTGACTCCGAGCATGCGATGCTGATCCGACTGCAGAAGCTGGCTCCGGACCAGCTCCGGTTCATCGCACAGATGAGGTTGGGCGAAGCCTTCTTGCGGCCTGGCCAGGTGCAACAACCAAAGCGACCCTTGTCACAGTGGAATCAGTTGCAGAAGGACCTCTCCGAAGCCCAACGTGGCTTTGGATTGCAAGGTGCGAAGCAGGGCCGAGCCGCCAGCTGGTGGGGCTTTTCGAAGTTGGTGGCCGGCAAAGCCCAGGAGGTTGCAGTGACAGTGGAGGGGTGCAAGAAGGACGAGGCGATCCTGCGAGCTCCGACCTGCTTTCGACCCTCCAATGTTCTGGATGCCAGTATGTCCCGAGACTACCAGGTGGTCGTCATCCGCCTGCACCCGCTGGGCGAGAACCAGATGGCCCTCGTCAGCAGGGTCTTCCGAAGCAGCCATGGGAAGAAGCGAAGCGGCAGCAAGCCTCACGAGGAGGCACTCCCTGCGCAGGAGTGCACTGGTTTGCAGCTGGTGTTGCTGCAGCCTGTGAAAGATGAGTCGAGCATCTTTCGAGCTACCTGCTGCAGTCCCTGCCTTTGCTTGCATCCGCACGAGGACCGCGAGGACCTTCCACGCTTGCTGATGGAGGTGGCACCGGGATGGTTCAAGGTTCGATGCACCTCGACGACCTTGCTACTGGAGGTGGAGAGCTCAGCAGCCATGGGCATCAGAGCAGTGAAGGAGCTGGAGGAGCCGGCGAAGGTCGCAACCTGCTTCTGCGATACTTCGTTTCCTCACTCGGAGGCCGGCTTCGCGAACATCCGCGCTTACATGGAGATCATGCGGAAGATGTTTGCAAGCACTGCGGGCAAGCCGTTATGCACGCAGGACGGCTGTGTGCGATTGTGGTCTGGCAGTGTCAGGCAACTTTGCCACATTTCAGTGGATGGTTTTTCCTTTTCTTTTATTGCTGACCTAAACCATCCTAAAGCCTCAACCCTCAAACCCTAGCGGAAACATGCCTAGGCCGTCGTGGGATTCCCTATTGCAGCGAGCACCTGGGTATTTTGCAACGGTCCTGAAGCACGGCGAGATGGCTGCCAAGACCTTGTCTAGCAAGGAGTTTTCGCGAAAGGTCTGCATGCGGTTCCGCTCGATCGCCCCCACATGTGTGTGTGGAACGGAGCCGTTCATGAACTTCCTGGCACATGTAGACAAAGTCGTGCCTGAGCTGCCAGTGGAGTGACACTCGAAGCTTTCGTTCGAGCCCTGAAAGAAAAGAAGCGTGATTCGACAAGCCGTGCAAGGGGTGAGGGAGAGAGAGAGAGAGAGAGAGAGAGGTCAGTTTGAAATGCAACAGAAAACAAACCTAAAACTTAAGCGCAAGTCTTGTCCTGCATATTTTTAAACATCATAACGACATACATAAATATGCAATTACGTCGATGGCATGGAAGGCTTCAGTCGCAACCCCCGGACACCCCCCAACAGACCCCTCCAATACATTCCAGACCCTGCCGAAATGTATTGCCGGGGGGGCCGCCCCCATTAGGGGCTGCTAGGAGGGATCAGGAGACTATAGTGCAAGAAATCGTGCAATAGAAGCAAGTGTGCGTACTTGCAGCTGAGGGTGTTGTGTCTCCAGAAGTCGGTGTGTCGACAAAACAGCGGAATTTTGCAGCCCTGAGCCTGAGACCTTCAGAGATTCGGAGAGCCTCTGAGAGCTTCGGAGGCCGGCGCTCCGGCGAATTCAGAACTCCGAGGCTCACAGCGGGTCACAGCGTCACACGGCATTCTCATCCAAGCCGCCCCTTGAAGCTTCTCTGAAACTCCTGGCTCGCCCGCCCACCCCCGTCGAAACAGAAACTATTGCCACAGGAGTTCAAGGCTGAGGGTTGAGTTCCCTCGTTCACACGGCTTTTGCTGCAGCTGGATCTGTTGGCTTCTGCTCGCCAGGTAGTGAGGCTGTGATCGTGGTTGTTGTGTTTGCTCGAGTGCGAGTTTTAGCTGAGCTTGCTAGTGTAAACCTGACCGGGCGACTCATGAAGTGGAGCGTGCGTGCGTGCAGGAGGCTTGCAGCCATTGCTGCCGCAGTCTACCACGTTTACTTCACGCATGCGCAAGCACCGGCCCTTGCACCTTCTGCCAGCTCCAATGACAGGTTCCAGCACGCCGGCTTTATGAAGACCTCCGTGCCACGAGTCTACGCCATCCCTGGTGGCACGTGGGACAGCGCCAGTGGTTCGCTAGGCTATTACGTGCCTCAGGGCACGGGAATGCGGCAGGTGGACACCTCCCACGTCTCCCACAGCCTTGCGGACAGAATCCAGTGCCTGGATGCAGACCTGCGCATCCCTTGGGGTTTCCTTGTTCACGATGACCACGGAGGGGTGGCTCTCATTGACGTTCCATACTACTCCCTGGACTTGGCAAGAAGGATCAAGAGAGTGGCACAGGGGAAGCCATTGCTGATCATCTTCACGCACAGCGATTTCCTGGGAGTGGCAGAGGTGGACAGTTGGCGCAACAGCTTCGAGACCGTGCGAATTGTCGCTCACGATTCCGATGCGATGAGAGGTGATGTCGAGAGATTGGTTGGCGATGGACCTTGGCAGGTGGGCGATTTCCATATCCATGCCGCCCCAGGGCACACAGAAGGCTCCTTGATTGTGAGCTCGAGAAGTCGGAGCACATCATTCGGAGGCGATTCTGCAGGAGTGTGGGAGGGGAAGCTCACCGGCTTTCCCGAGATGGCACGGTTCAGCTGCAAGGCACAATCAGTGTCCTTACGCCGGTTTGCTGACGATGCCCCATTCTACAGATACTGGTTTCCTGGCCACGGCCTACCACTGCAGTTCGAGAGTCGTGCAGAAAGGAGGAAGCTCCTCTACCAGGTGGCAGACGGATTGGAGCAGGCCTCCCAGTCCGGCCAGGTGCTTGCACCCTGAGGTGCACGCACGTGGTGCAACCACGTTTGCGTCGCCTGATGCAGTTTTTGGCTTGAGAGATGTACAGCAGCGCATGATGGCTTTGCATTGTGGTCCTGACTAGTATGTGGAAGTAAAGCCAGTGAAGACATTTGTGGTGCGTGGTGTAGGATTTGTGAGCCAATACATGATGAAGTCATCATGCGAATCTGTCCTGCCCAATCTGCACACATGGATCGCGAGTGCGCGACAGTGAAACCATGGACTGCGATCGCTTTGCGATGCTACTCAGGAACTTCTGCAGTGGAAAAAACAACCGAAAGTCGCAGCAGTCGCATGAAGAAACACGAAGCGCCAAGAAAAACCCGTCCCCAGAGGCTCTGATTCGGAGTCTGAGCTTCTGTGACTCTGTGCCAGTGCTCCCCTTTTTGTTGGAGGTCCCGACCCTGATGCCCCGAGCCTTCGATCTCGAGCTGCGAGCATCCCCAGACCATCTTGCCCGCAAAGCGAAGACACGTCCTCGCCGCCCGGGCAAGGCAAAGAACTCGAGAGTAAGGATGCCACAGGCCATGCCGCTCCACTCTCTTCATTTGAGGGCATCCGGCAGGTATGATTGCAGGTTGTCGAGGTCCGAGCGGTAGGCTAGGGCTTGGGGGCCCCTTGGCTCACTTCAGTGAGCATAAGGCATGTGGGGCTCGGGTTTTGCCGCTTTGAGTGTGTGGATCCCCGCGCAGATTGTGGATGATGACAGTGATGGGTCTGTCTCAGCGGCCTCAGCCTCAGGCCTTCTTTATGCCAAGCAGCAACTCAGAGGCTCTCTTTTGTCACTTTTTGGTGCGATCCACGTGTGCGTTCTTTCGTGCACCTGTTTTTCAAAGCGAAATAACGAGATATAATGAGATGGAACAAGAAACACCATATGTATATGTATATGTATATGTATATGTATATGTATATGTATATGTATATGTATATGTATATGTATATGTATATGTATATGTATATGTATGTGTATATGTATGTGTATGTGTATGTGTATGTGTATGTGTATGTGTATGTATGTGTATGTGTATATGTGTGTCTATGTATATGTATATGTATATGTATATGTATATGTATATGTATATGTACATGTACATGTACATGTACATGTACATGTATATGTATATGTATATGTGTATATGTGTATATGTGTATATGTGTATATGTGTATGTGTGTATGTGTGTATATGTGTATGTGTATATATGTGTATGTATGTGTATATATGTGTATATATGTGTATATATGTGTGTACATGTATATGTATATGTATATGTATATGTATATGTATATGTATATGTATATGTATATGTGTATGTGTATGTGTATGTGTATGTATATGTATATCCATATGCCGATATGGAGTGCAATTACAGCGGTGTTTCAGAGACATGTACGCACACAATCTCTTGCTTGCCCCGAGGGGCCAGACGTTCGGACGCTGGATCCGCAAAGTGACACGGCTGCAGACAGCGAAGATGCATGTGTATCCTGGAACATTGCGCTTCTACAAACTCAGAGTGCTCACAAGAATCGTCGAACATCTCCTTCGTTTCGT